TTTAAGGATTGGGTATGGGATCTGAGATCTGGCACTGTTTAAAAGATGTTTTGGCTTTTCTTTGTAACTAAGTTCTAGGCCCATGGAGTTTCTCCATGAGTATATTTTGTTACCTTCCTCTCTAGTCATTATACTTGCAACCAGAATATTGTTGTAATAATAAAAGTTCTTTCTTTTCTTTTATTAACCTGGCAGTGGTTAATGGTGTGCCCTGATTTTTGTTTTAGGGGGAAGATTTCCCAAATGATCTTTCCCCTGGTTTCTTTAGCAACATTTGGGTGGTGGCAGCGGAAGTTTTATTCCCAAGATCTAGGTTTTTAAGATTTTGGGGGGAGTTTGATACCAAAGCCTGGTAGATAAGGCTTTGGGGTACACTTGCTGGCCCCCACTTCTGCATTTATCATGCCAGAGTGGGGAAGGAGCCATGACAAATGCAGAGAAGAAACAGAAACAAAAAGACAACCAAACTTTTTTCTAACTCAAAAATATTCTAGGCTTGGTTTGAGTTAGGGATGTAAGCGACTAGTTGACTACCCGATAAACATATCGGGTAGTCGAGTCACTACTCGACTAGTTGCTTCCCCCCACTTGCTGCCTCTATTATAGGCAGCAAGGGGAGGGAGCAGGAACATCTCCACGGGGGGGCAGGGAAGGCAGAGGCGCAGCGGGGAACCAGGGGCTGCTCTCTCTACATTTCAAAGGCAGAGGTGCAGCAGTTGGAACCAAGCATGGGTGGGGACTACAGAAGCCCCCACTCACGCTGGGTTTCCCGCTGCGCCTCTGCCTTTGAAATGTAGCAAGAGATGAGGGAGGCTCTTGCTACATTTCAAAAGCAGAAGCGTACCTTCTGAGACCAGGCACAAGCAGGGACTGCTTCAGTCCCCACTTGCCCAGGTTGACCGCTGCACCATTGTCTTCCCTGTCCATGTTCTCTACTGTCCCTCTTCATTTGAAATGTAGCAATAGCTGTGGGTGGGCGCCTCTTGCTATATTTCAATGGCAGAGGTGCAGAAGGGATAGTGAAGTCTCCACTCCCCCATATCGACTAAGCCATTAGTTGATGGAAATTCCATCGACTACTCAATTAGCTGATTAATCAAAATTTAACATCCCTACTTTGAGTAAGGGGACAAGTTTTGATAAACTCTTCTTTTATTGGAACCAATTCCATTTCCTAAGTTATCAGATCAAGCTGACAGGCAGATATGAAAAAGTGTTACCCCATTTTAAGATTTTTCTCAGTAGTTAACTGTGAATGCAATATTATATATCACTGCACAGAAACTACATCAGAAGTACACTCTACATATGACCTTCACTACAATTCACATAATAGACTTTTCATCCAGCCCCCAACTACTGCCTGAAGTAACTTCAATCACGCTTTATTCTCTGAAGTCAGAACCTTTCATGCATTAGAAACTACCCTTACTATGATGGATAGTCCTATGTACTATCTGCATTAGAAACTACCCTTACTATGATGGATAGTCCTTAGATTAGAACCTATGTACTATTGTCCCATATTAAACATCCTATTATCTGAATGTTAATGCAATACATTTTTATATCACAGATGCAGAATCATGAGTGAGGGTTTTTTTAAAAAAATGATTAACCTAACATAGTTTGGCTCAGAGCCTATGTATATCTAATAAGCACCATTTATGCGACATGTTAAGGGCCAACAATGGTTTTGAGAAGTGTATAGGATGCTGTGTGTCTCCTCTGAAATGAGGTGAATTTAATGCTTTGAGCTTTCCATGGTATTATTTTTCTTGTGCCCTTAATTTTATTCTTCCTACATTTGGGCTTTGGTGGAAGCAAAGTACTAATGGTACAGCAGTCTAATTTACAGCATTACACTGATAAAGAATTACTATAATGTACATATTTTGTAAAATAAAATAACATGCTCTTGTGAAGCCTAGTTAAAAGAATGCAAACTTTGATCATAAACAGAATGAAAAGATGTATCTACATCTATTAGTCTATAGTTCATTAGGCTATTATGGTCCTTCACTGATTTGAACATTTTCTGAACATAAGAATGGCCATACTGGGTCAGATAAAAGTTCATCTAGCCTAGTATCTGTCTTCTGATCATGACCAAAGTCAAATGTTTCAGAGGGAATGACAGAACAAGTAACCATCAAATGATCCATACTGTAGTGGAGTAGCTGCCCCGCTGTGGCAAGGAAGAGGTTAAAACCAGGCTAAAGGGAGCTTGAGCAGAGCCCCAGCCAAGTGAGAAAGGGCTTATAGGGAGCCAATCAAAGGGGAGCTTGCTGAGGCAGCCCTGTTCATAAGAAGCTACTCAGCAGAGAGAAGGCAGTTGGGCCCTGACAAGCAAGGCTGCAGAACTGGTTCCCATGGAGAAACATGTTGGTCGGAGCAGTGCTGGGCAGACTCAGTGGAGCTGGAGAGAAGCCCCAGTTTGTTACCTCCCAAGCTAAGGGCTAAGAAGGTGCAAGGATCATGGGGGAAGTGGCCCAGGGAACAAGAACAGTAAAGAAGGGCAGGACAAGGCTGCCGCCAGAGGATCTTTGAACCAGGACCCAGAGTATTGGGTAGAACTGGTCCCTCCCTTCTTCTTTGCACCACAACTAGCTACCATGGAGCACGGCCTATACAGACTGCAGCTTGCCCCTGAGGCAAGGGGCTAGACTTCGGGGCTGCAGTTGGCCACGATGGCAGGTGTTTGAGGACTGCTGATACGCCTGGAAGGGTGTGAGAAAGCAGTGGTTGGCACTGCCGGAGGGCCATGTCCTGAAGAAGATGCCGCAGTCCAGGGAGCAACACAGGTTCATGGAGACAGGTTTGAGAGCAGAGCGATGACAGGCGAGACACCTGCCAGAAGGTGAGCCCCTCCATGAACTGAGCTAATTCCCAGGCTAACCACCAGAAGGCACCATGGTGGTAAGTCAATGCTATTACACATACCCTGTTGCTCATTCCCAGCTTCTGGCAAACAGAGGGTAGGGACACAATCCCTGTCCATCCTGGCTAATCATCACCCAAGGCTGATCCTCCATTAATTTATCTAGCTTTTTTTTCAATCATGTTTATAGTCTTGGCCTTCAGAATATCCTCTGGCAAAGCGTTTCACAGATTGACTGTGTGTTGTGAAAAAATACACCCTTTTGTTTGTTTTAAACCTGATGCCTATTCATTTGATTTAGTGACCACTAGTTGTTGTGTTATAACAAGGAATAAACAACACTTCCTTATTTACTTCTTCCACACCAGTTATGATTTTATAGACCTCAATCATACGCCCCTTTTTTTGTCTCTTTTCTAAACTGAAAAGTTCCAGTCTTATTAATCATTCCCCATATAAAAGCTCTTCCATACCCCTAATGATTTTTGTTGCCATTTTCTGAACTTTTCCCAGTAACACCTTTTTCGAGACGGTGAGACATGTGCTTTGAATATCTGAGTGTGTAACAAAGCTATGCAACTGAAAGCACTTTGTTTTACCTGGGATGTACTTTTAGCTGACTGATGTAACAGGAACTTTTTTTTTTTTTTTTTTAAGAAAGAGAACCTACAGGTTCTTGCTCAACTCTTGAAACCAGACTTTATGAAGAACTGACACTGAAAAAGAGTCAAGTATAATCACAATGTATGTCTAGGGGTGCCAGACTTATTTTTCTATAACTATCATTCTCTGAAGTGATGTAACTCACATTTGTGTAGTCATATACATATTATGCTGATTCATTGAAAGAACCTAAATGAAAAAGACTGACTAGGAGAGCTCTGGCACACCCTATTAGGTTTTGAAGGATAACAGAAACAGTTCAGTTTTTTTTAAAAGGAAATATTTCTAAATATTAAATTATCTCATTACCTTCAGAAATTGTCACAGACAGCAGTTTACATATGCAGTAACTGTTACATTAACTACTGGTGTTTTGCCTGATGAATCCATCTTTTATAATTAAGCTTGGAAGGATTCAATTTTTATGGGAAATGTTGGTCAGCACTGATTTCGCCATACAAATGCAAACTAACAAAAACACATTTCCACTGATAACTGAAATATACAGAAATGTAAACTAAAATAAATACTGATTGATTTAAGGAAATTTAGTTTGTACATTTTGACATGTAAGTACTAACAATTTGTGTTTTAATGGCTATTAAGCTTTACCTTTTTGCATCTCAACATTTACTGTCATTATTCTCAGGCTCACAATTTCCCACAACTGTGAAAATTTAAATAGATAAAAATAAAACAAAGTGGTTAAAAATAAACATGTATATTATCTGTCAGTCCTAAAAAGCGAATTCTGCCAACTCTATCTGTTACACCATTTTCTTCTTTTGCTATTTCTCATAATAACAGTTGAAAGAGAAAATATAATCCAGTGTAAATGCTATGCTAAGAAACACTGAAATGAAACTATGTAGCCTCTTCTCAATACTTTAGAATTGGGATTTACAATTGCAAAGAGACCTAGCAAATGTCATCATCAAGGCATTTCATTTTGCATTGCAACTAGTTAGTCTGAAATGCAAGATCCTTGTAACCACTCTAACTGTACATACCACACCTGTAGAGCTCCATAGGAAACTCTAGCTTCACAAATAACTACTATATATTTCTCTGTAATCAACAAGACTCTGCTGCATCAAAAAAACTGCTTGGCTCCACAGATCATCTACAGGGGATCTGTTTATACAAGAGCATTTGATGATCAGCCTTTTGATCTGTTGCTTTTGTAACAAGTTGCATGATACTACTGGTAGCCACATGGAAAACATTTGGTACTGGACATACCAATCTGTTCAGAGACCCGGAAAGGACAGCTAGGTTCTCTGAGATGAACTGGTAAGTACTGAGTATTATTTTCTGCATTCTACTCCTTTCCAGGCTCCACTACATAAATCCCAAATAATCATGTGAAAAAACACTGCTCTCATTAGTTCACTGAACCATGAGCTCAGGTTTCAATCAATTGCAATGCTGAAGAGAATGCTCAGTCAGTGCTTACCTCATTGTCCGACTCCACGAGTACTTGGTCATATTCACTGAGGGCTACTAGAAACATGATAGATGTGACATTTTCAAAGCAATGTATCCATTTTCTTCTTTCTGATCGTTGGCCTCCCACATCCACCATTCTGCAAGGTTAACAAAATCCACATCAATTCCAGGGGAATACAGAGCTTAATAAAAATCAATGTACATCACTTAAGGAGCAGCAGACGTAACAATGTAGGTAATGAGCAATTTGGGTGGAAACCAAAAAAAAAATCCTGTTTTTGTTAGCAGCCGTTCCATTAATATTTAAAAATCAACAGTGCATGTGTTGCAGGGGAGGCAGCTTGCTATATTTCCTTTATAAGCCTGACATGGCTTACATATTTTAATAATTATAAGCCTCGTACTCTCAAGTGCTCTGTCTGCAGAAATCTCTCTGAAGTAAATCTGAGCACCACTCCTGGAGAGCTTGCAGAACTCAACTTTATAGATTTATCAGAAAGAAACCAAGAGTAACACAGTTTGTAGTTGAAACAGTTTCTATACTTTCCCCATATAACTACAAGATATATTTTAGAAAATAACTTTCAAAAGATAATCAGTACATATATATTGTGGAATGAATAAATAATCTGCTGAGAAATAAATTTGGAAATTAACATGAAATTGTAATAAATTTCATCTTCTGGATGGGGTAAGTGAGCATGTGATACATAAGCAAACTTAGAATTGACATAAAATTTGAGAAACATGTTTTATTGAAAGTGCCTAAGAGGTTTAGTGTGTTTTCCAATTTCTGCCAAGAACAGAAGTTTGGATACAGGTTCATTCATCCCTGTAGTATCAGCTGCTTAAAAATGACAATGTTACAATTAGTCACTTGAGTAAGCATGTAACAGACTAAAATTCGGTATGATGGCATAAATGTTCTCTTTTTGCATTTTGAAACTGTAATTGTAACATCCCATTATTCTATATTCATTTTGAGAACTTTAGCATTTGGTGACACAGATAAAGAGGAGCAGTAGTGAAATGCATATAGGTATTTGAATATTCTTACTGAAACAATGAATATGAGCTTAAACAATGTTTGGGCACTTAACACAGAATTTTCAAAGCCTAAGTTGATTCTGACTCTGAATTAAAAAAAGAGATTCAATTCAATCTTCCTTTTGCAGGAAAATTTTGCACCCACACATTTGGTGACACAGATAAAGAGGAGCAGTAGTGAAATGCATATAGGTATTTGAATATTCTTACTGAAACAATGAATATGAGCTTAAACAATGTTTGGGCACTTAACACAGAATTTTCAAAGCCTAAGTTGATTCTGACTCTGAATTAAAAAAAGAGATTCAATTCAATCTTCCTTTTGCAGGAAAATTTTGCACCCACAATTATCAGCCAAACAGAGAATGGGGAAAAGTGCTTCAGAATCTCTCATCACAACTTTTGCTATATTTTGCCCTTAAGGGAGAGAGATTTTAAGCACTGTAAAGGAGTCAGTAGGGCTGACCTTTACACTATGGCTGTGTCTACACTACACCCCTTTTCCGGAAAAGGGATGCAGATGAGACAAGTTGGAATTGCAAATGAAGCAGGGGATTTAAATATCCCCCGCTTCATTTGTATAAACATGGTTGCCGCTTTTTTCCGGCTCGGGGCTTTGCCGGAGAAAAGCGCCAGTCTAGACGGGATCTTTCGGAAAATAAAGCCTTTTCTGAAAGATCCCTTATTCCTGATTTTAAGAGGAATAAGGGATCTTTCGGAAAAGGCTTTATTTTCCGAAAGATCCCGTCTAGACTGGCGCTTTTCTCCGGCAAAGCCCCGAGCCGGAAAAAAGCCACAGCCATGTTTATACAAATGAAGCGGGGGATATTTAAATCCCCCGCTGATTTGCAATTCCGACTTGTCTCATCTGCATCCCTTTTCCGGAAAAGGGGTGCAGTGTAGACACAGCCATACAGGTTTATTTTCTCTCCCTCTCTTGATCTCTTTACTTATATCTTATTGTCAGCTGGTAACAACTTATGTACAATAAGAAGCAAAATGACCAAAGTGCAGAATCATTTTAAGTTTAGACACTCCCTTTTACCTGTATGTGATATTTCATATAACTAACATATAAGGAAAACAAAAAAATGTATTCAACCTTTTTTCTTGTATTTTACCTGAAAATGACGCTTTGTAAGTCAAATGGATATTCAATTATCCCTGTTGTTGGGACTCGAACTCTAAGCACGTCTTGTTGGGTGGGCAGATAGGCAGGTTCTGCTATACGGTCCAGGTCGTTGAGATAGCTATAGACAGGGAGAAACAATAGGAATGCAAGATAGTGACACCATAATCCCACTGAGGGAAGGACCAGGGGCTCGTGAGGAAGGGAAATGAGGGAGTGGAGCGGGAAGAAGTAGTTAAACAAAAATAGAGTATAACTTAAATAAAAAGGGGGAGTGGGGCAAGGAAGTTGCACAATTATTCCCACCTGCAGAACCCTGCTGTTAAAGAAATGTCATGATAGACTCAAAGATGGCAAAGGACCCTAGCACAAGTGTCTCAATATTATTTTCCTTTTCACCAGATTATACTCCGCTCCCTACTAAGAAATTCCTAGATTGAAACCACATAAGTACTCAACAATGGCCGTTTTCAAAAACAAGACAAAAAAACAGATACAATTGTTTAACTCTATACACAAATGTAGATATTCATCACCTTATACACAGAAAAAGATGTCAAAATAGTTTGGCATATGTTTTTCTACTGTATCTATATATGGGTGCATGCGCATGCACACTCACACACACGCACACACACAAATAGCTAGATAAAAAAACTTGAAAATCGTAAAGTGCTCTAATACAAAGATGCATTGACTTAATGTAGATCAATGCCTGTTAGGAAACTTTAGGAAGACAAATGGACTCCATAGGAGACATACCACCTGAGCCAAAACAGAACAATATACCCTCCAGATAAAAGGATTATTCATTGGTGCCAGTTTTGGACAATTTTCACCAATTTTTCAGGCCACACCAGACCATTATGATTAAGGCTGCAAGTCTGTCAAGCAAGTCATGGATTCTGTGACTTTGCAGCACCGGTCTTGGGCTGGCCGATGGTCCCTTCCCTTGGAGCAACAGTGACGGTTCAGGGCAGTATGATGCCGCCACTTCCCTGGAGCAAAACAGCAGTCCTGGGCTGCTCCCTCCAGAGCACCAGGGCTGGCCTTACCATGAGGCGAACTGAGGCGGCCACCTCAGGTACCAGACTGAGGGGAGGGAGGAGGCCGCAACTAGGACCCAGAGTGTAGGAAACTGTGCCTGCTGCTGGTGCATATGTATTCTCTCTGCTCTAGATGCACAGAGATGGTGGAGTAGAACAGAAAGGCGGCAGAATTGAGAACTTTCAAAGTTTCGGCCCAAGCGAGGGGACATGAGGGCGTCATTCGAGCTCCCCGCCTCAGGTGCCAAAATGTTGTGGGCCAGCCCTACAGAGCTTTAGTCACAAGAATATAGTACAAGTGATGATCCTGTCCACAAATTTTACTAAATCTTAGCCTTAGCTCTGATTATCTATGATTATCTAGTGTGACTGTCTGCACAATGTAAGCAGTAAAATTTCATCCAGAATTCCTGCACCAAGCCCATACATTCTGGGTGAACTAGAGCATATCTAAGATGAGCCTGCAGCACCTCTCACTAGTTTGGCAAATAATATGGTATTGCAATAGGCTCACTATTAGTAAGGATTGCCTATAAGTAGCACATCAGCCTGTCCTCTGCTGTGGTTTAATGGGAGCATATGTCCATAAAATAGTAATGAAATGAGGAACAGCAATACTGGTGTTAGTTTCATTAATTAGAAACACTGAATAGAGATGCACTTTAAAAACAGCAAGTCACCATTGGGCTTTAGGCTCTTTGTGCTGTTTTGCTGGTGTGAGGAAGCCATAAGCCAAGTGGACCTGGCCAGAAATGAGCCCCATGTCGATGGCTAGGAGAACAGGGGTGTGGCTGGAATGTCCTTGGCTATTTATGGCTGCAAGAATGAACCCTGGTCCACAAGTGCCCTGAAATAAGTTAAAGCAACCCTGAAGCTACTAACCTATGCTGAATACATGGATTTTTCTTCTCTTCTTTTTATACCCCATTATCTTTTAGGCATGTCATTAAATACTAACAATACTGAGTAGTTTTTCTCTTGGTGATTATTGTTAAAGGTGATTTTACCTTATTAAAGGTAAATTCCTTAATCCAGGAATAGAGTCACTTTAGTTGCTTTGAATCATTTGTTAAAAAAGAATATAAGTAAATGACTATGAATGATGGAAACAAAACACTTTTGCTTTAAAATAGAACATGAGAATAAAAACATACAAGATTTAATCTACTAGGTCTGGAAAGGAGCTAGAGCAATTATCAGATTCTCCTCTGAGTTTTTAGCAATAAGAGTAAAAGTGAAAATAAAATTGCAATGTAAGAAAACCCTATACATTCAGAAAGATATTTAGAACAGAGAATCTCTGACACATTTAACATATAGCTCCAGAGCTACCCTGAAAACATTTTTTTAAAGAAATCACTAATTTCATTTAATAGGCCAAAAGGTTTGATGAGAGTTGGATCAGGCCCGCCCTTTGACTTTTATACTGAGAACAGAATGAACAAACTGAAACTCCTGAAATACCAATTTTTAAAAATAAAGCCAACCCTCCTTCAAGGAACATGAAACACTAAAAACCAACCAATAAACCAGCACCCCAAAACACAAGTGGCTTTGATTTTGATTTTGGGCCCCAGGAAAGGAATTCTTCATTCACAGACAGAAGCTATGTCTACACTGAGAAAGGTTGGCAACGTAAGTGCTCTTGACATGCAAAAGTCACCAAAAGTGAAAACCTGTCAAACTGGCTTTTTCTGCCTCCCACTGTTGACATTTCATAGCCACATTGCTAGCACCCTGTCAACAGATAGAGCAAAGGAATGCGGTTAAGCAACCCACAGCGCAGTGTTGTGGGAAGGCAGAGCTGATCCCTGTGCTTCTTAGGATTCTCTCATAGCTCTATGAACTCTCCGTGCTGAGCAATGTCAAAGCAGCACAGCAGTGTCTTCAGCCCTCCCCCTGCAGCAGCAACCTGCCTGCTGCTGTGTTCCTAGAGCAGGGCAGAACAGAAGCATTTCAATGATTTGTTCCTTGTTTGCGCCCCAAATGGAGCAGCTCACTCATCTGTCAGATTCTTCCCAGAGCTCTGAAACGGATGGGGCGCATGCCTGCAGGGGAGCAGAGTTCACAAAACACAGTGCATAGCCATTAGGGCAGGCATTGTGGGATTCTGGCAGAAGCCAGGTCTCTCAACAAAACAAACAGCAGAGTCCACCCTGGCTCTTTGCGGACAATAGAGGGAGGGGAAAAAAGCAAAAGTGTCTTGCAGGGGTGGAAGTTTTTTGTCTTCAAAACTGAGTATTTTTCCCGACAAAAAGTCACATTGCAGTGTAAACGCTCTCACTGTTTTGTCCTGAGAGAGGTCCCTGAAGAAAGATGGAGAAGGTAGTGAGAAGAGGGTATGTGGCAGGCTCCCCAGCCCCGCCCTCTTCTCCCCAAGGTCTGGTCCCTTTCAAACGCAGGCCCAGAGGCCTAGTCCAAGGTCAAGGCGGGCCCTGAGGCCTAGTCCAGCACAAATGCAGGCCCTGAAGCCTAGTTCAGCACAAACGCAGGCCCTGATGCCTAGTCCAAGCTCTGGGTGGATGGGGTAGCGGGGTCCGGGCCCTCCCTCTCCACCAGACCCCAACCCAGGGCCCTATTAGTGGTGGATGGTTCCCACACCGGCTTGGCGGGGAGTTCTCCCCGAAATGCCCGAGCCCACCGGGGTGTTCCCTACCCCTTGCCCTGGGTTGCCCTGGTGGCCGACGGAGACCTCATCTGCAGATGCTGGGCTGGCGGCGGCTGTGACGTTGGCAGGTCTGGCGTCTGGGTTTGGCGGCCCCCTGGGGTCGGCATTGTGGGTGCGCTCGACCCGGGGACGGTAGCAGCAACGGTGACGGTCCCAGCGACTCTTGCTCCGGCGGCAGGTCCGGCTGTGGCTCTGGAGGTTGGGCAGGAGCTTCTCCCTCCCCGGAGGCCAGCTCCAACTGAGCAGCCCGGCAGCCTTTTATACCGGGGCTGCACTGCGAGCATGCCCAGGAGGGCTGTGGGGGATGGGCATATTCCACCCAATAGGCGGGCTCTCTGCCCCCCTGTTCAGTGCGGGGCTGGCCAGCCCCATTACAGGGTGTAAAGACAAATTGGAGGGTGTATCCCCATGCCACTATCTGAAGGACCCATTTGTCTGAGGTTATGCAGGACCATGCAGGGAGGAAATGGGAAAGGTGGTTGGAGAAAACCAGGGATCCTGGAAATAGCTGGTAAGTCATCCTTGGGTATACCATTTAGCCCCTTGTTTAGTGTGGGTTGAGCCCGATTGGGCAGAGGATTGAGGGTGGCTTGGGTATTTTTTATAGCCCTTGATTTTTTTGGATGGTGGTTCTTCTTGTGGCTGGTTTTCTTGCCCTTGCAACTGTTGAGGTTTAAACTAGTTATGAGTTGGGGCTGGGACATACAACCCCAAAGTTTTCAGGGTTGCATGGGAATCCTTTAACCTGTCAAGCGTACTGTTCATTTGCTCCGTAAACAGAAACTATCCATCAAAATGGAGGTCCTGTATTGAATGCTGAGCATCAGTCAATAGGCCAAAGAGATGAGAAGCTGAGATGCCTGGCGCATGGAAATGACCAAAGCCATCATGTGAGCTGCTGAGTCAGCTGCACCCGAAGTCACCTACAGAGCCACTGTTGCTACCTCCATAATGCCCTCATCTATGATGCCACAAAACTCCTTCCTGGATCCCCTGGAAAGCAATGCCTTGAACTTGGCCATGGCCTGTCACATTGTGGTTCTAGCACCTTAGGGAAGGCTTGGTAGTTAGCCAGTCTAGGTTGTAAACTGAACAACAAATAAACTTTTTGCCAAAATAAATCCAACCTTTTGGAGTCTTTATTCTTAGGAGTTGCTCCTAGCTGGTCCTCTTCTCCCTTTGATTGAGAGCCTTCACAATCAGAGAATCTGGAACTGGGTGGGTACAGAGGTACTCTTGACCTTCAGCTGAAATCAAGTACTTTCATCTGCCCAGTCTCAAAATGGAGGGCAGGGAAGAAGGGGTCGGTCACAAAGAGGTTATGATTTTTACAGGTGCTGAGGAGCAGAGGACATCGAAAAGGGAGTCTGATGGTTCCTCTAATTCCTCTGTTTGGAGTCCCTGGTT